GCAGAAACACAAAACCTGTTGAGAGCCACAAGGTATCGGGGTAAGCGGAGAGCCATGATCGCCTAGATCCTGAAAGGACACGGCAAATAAAAAAGACATGTAAATATAAATATAAAAGTGAACATATAACAGCTCAGTGATATTTTTATTGTTTCTAACGAGATTTTCCTCTTTCTTAATACTTTGCTTAGTATTTGGAAGGCATGTTTCGCTTTCCCAAATTCACCTTCGGATTTCGATGTTATTCTTGTTATTTTTTTACTGGGGTAATTTGGTACAAACAGTAAAGTTTATACAGCGTTTTAAACAGACGCTCTTTCAGTGCATCAAGCAACACCAAATATTTCGTTCTCCTTACGTTGTATGTCAAGTAAAGAAAATCTGCTTGAAATATACAATATATTCTGATTATTTTCACTTCTCATAAACGATACAATCATTAACTTCACATATCATCATGGATAAAGCATCTGTTTATTAAAGTTAAAAAAAAAATCTTTATACTTACAGAACATGACTCAAGCATAGAATAAAAATGGCGGATAGTACCCTGCTAGAAATGAGGCTAAAAGTAACGCCATCAAATGACGAATACAAAAATGAAAACCAATGATTCATCCTACTCCATGTACTTACCAGCTAAGCCGTCCGCTATATTTAAATGGTTTTCTACTCTTCACAAGAATCCCAAAGATGTTGATAATTTCTGTCATGTTCTTGAGTATTTTATAGACCATAAATGAGTTCTAATCTTATCTTTGCTAGTGCATCATCGTGAGAAGAGTGTCAAATGATTAGCGTCATAAAAATCAATTTAGGATTCAAGGTTCTACCATCCGGCTTTCCACAAACAGCATAAATGCAACAAAACGATTTACTATTCGGACGAGCATTCTTATTCTTGTCTTTATGCTCAAAGCTTTTCGACCATTGCACCCTGAGTCCTTCTTCAGTTGCCTAATTTTGTATCCGGAAACATTCTTAGAATTTCGTTCTAAACCATTTAATCAATCCAATAGCCCAATGATAGCATAATGGATTAAAACGTTGGTTTTAAAAAAAAAACAACATATCATCTTTCGTAGTAGTTGTGAGTTTAATCCCTAGGGCTGGTAGTGTTGAAAAGTCATATCGTCTGTTTCAGTGAAAAAGACAAACAAAACAAAAACAAGCAAAACAAACAAGCAACACAAAGGGGAATAAGTTTAGGGATTTCTTTTTTCTTTTTATGTGCCATGTCCTTTCAGGACTTAGGTGATCATGTCTCTCTATCTCCTTCTATCCCTTGCAGCTCTTAACAAGTTCCTTCCTTCTGCTTCCTCCCCCAGACCACGTTCTGACATCCACCTTATCAAGCTCGCCAGATATGTCACGGGTTGCTTTCACTTGTCTCTCTTTCCCTCTATTCGCAACCTCTTGTTTGCAACCTTTCTAAGACCCCATCGTTGCTCACATGCTCGGTCCATGATATCTTTAGAATTCTTCCTTCGTCGCTTCGAGTCCCTTCTTCATATTTGAGGAAATCGTCCAACATTCGCTGCTGTAAAGAAGAACAGATGTCACGTAACAGATCAGTATTCTTTTCTTTGTTGCCAAAGAAATCCTCCTGCCTCGCAATACTCTGTCCATCTTTTAGAATGTGTCCTTCGCCATCCCAATACGTCTACAGAACTCAGTGTCGCACTTACCGCCCTGTATCAAGAATCTCCAGAGCACGTAAAGCAGAATGATAACACACTACCGCGGCGGATTGAATAAATGGTTGGAAATCCCACGAAGTTTACTGCGCACGAAAGCAGACACCTGATGAAGATCTAAGGCTACAATGGTCGAAACGTTATGAGCGTAACAATTAAGAAGAGCCACATGATCCAAATATCAAAGCATATAATGAGGATGATTCTTTATCTGCTAAAAATAAAACATTTGTCGACTCAACCGGATGTTGTCGTTAGCATGAAAATTTCATAGATTAGATAATTCGATCTTCATCGAGTGTACCACATTTGTAGCCTTTAACCAGACTATCTACAGCCTAGAAAATAAGACTTTCGTTTCTTCAGCAGCAAGTTGTGATAAACATGATAATCTCATGGATTATAACAATTATGGATACTTTGAGACTTACAACTTGTGTATCCTTGTGTCAGCACAATGTACGATTTATTACTTAAGAATTAAATTTAGTACGAGATTTACTGAGTACGAATACATTCTGAATAAGGCCTGAGGTTACAATGGTCGAAATGACATGCGTTTAACAAACAAGGCGTGCAATTTTGTTTGAATTACAA